TGGGAGGCTGAGGCAGAAGGATCGCTTGAGCCCAGGAGTTTGAGGTTGCTGTGAGCTAGGCTGACGCCACAGCACTCTAGCCTGGGCAACACAGTGAGACTGTCTCAAAAAAATAAAATTGTACAGTGAATTAGTCCGTGTAAAGCATTCCTCCTCCTTGTATTTGATGATTTGTCAGTTGAGATTTGTAAATAGCTTTTCTTAAATGTGAGCGCTTTTTTTTTAGTAATTTTATTATTTGGCATAGAGGGAACATTTTGCCAGTGTTTTTCTGTCAGTATGTGTTGAGGGAATTAATCATAATACCAGTTCGAATGATACTCCATCCAGTTCGAATGATACTTCCATCCTTTATTTGGAAAGTTAAAAAAATTTCTAAAATTAAAGGCAACAGAAATGAATTGCCCAAGTGAAAAATGAATAGGCAGGTTAAGATTTACTACTGGCTAATATGCTTAAATATACACTGTAGTCACTTAGCTGCCAGAACTACTGTTAAAAATTCCTTGAGGTTATTTGGCTTTTAGGATTAGCAAAAAGAACAGAAATAGCTAGAGAAACCTCATCCTGTGGGCAGGTTTCTAGATAGAACTAGTATGTCTTATGGGAAGCTCTACCCCAGATAAATACAAACACTGCTGGAAGTTTTTCATTAATTGTGTTAGACTGGCTTAGGCTCTACTAAATAATTTTTTTTTTTTAAGAGATGGAGTCTTGCTCCGTCACCCATGCTGGAGCCCAGGCTGAAGTGCAGTGGCACGATCATAGCTAACTGCAGCCTCAAATTCCTGGGCTCAGTCAGTCCTTCTGCCTCGGCCTCCTGAATAGCTGGAGACTATCTACTATGCCCAGCTAATTTCTAATTTCTTTTTTTTTTTCTTTTTTTTTACTCCCAAAGATGGGGTCTCTCTCTATTGCCCAGGCTGGTCTCAAGCGATCCTCCTGCCTTGGCTTCCCAAAATGCTGGGATTACAGGTGTCAGCCATTACATCTGGCCTTAATTTTTAATTTAAGCATCTTTATATGAAAAGCCCATAATATCCCTGAGAAGGTTGGGCTAAGTCATTTGCATGTCAATCTGAATTGATTCAGTTCTTTTGAGGAGTTGAGGGTGACAAATTACAAGGGACTTAGATGCCTGGAGAAAGGTCACACTAGGAGACATGAGAGGTATATCCTGAAAGGGTAGGAGGAGAAATGTGTGATGTGTAAACATTAATTTATTGTAATTATTTCAAGATTAATTGATTCTATATTAATTAGCCAAGTGTCCCTGTTATTTGTTAACTTTATATTGATGCCACTCATGTTTTTATCCTTTCATTTATTTTTATAGAAAAGATGGAGAATTTTCGCGAAGAACATGAAAAGAATAGTCACCACATTCACAAAAATGCTGAAGACAGTACTAAGAAACCCAGTGCAGAAACTACAGCAGCTTCTGGATATAAAGCTGATGAAATCAAAGAAACAAATGACACTTGGAACTCCGAGTTTGGGAAAAGGTCTGAATCTCCATCAGAAATATCTCCAGTCAAGGGATCTGTCAGAACTGGTTTGTATGAATGGGATAATGATTTCGAAGATATCAGATCAGAAGATTGTATTTTAAGTTTGGATAGTGATTCCCTTTTGGAGATGAAGGATGAAGATTTAAAAAATCGATTGGAAAATCTAAATGAAGCCATTGAGGAAGACATTGTGCAAAGTGTTCTTAGACCAAGCAATTGTAGGACGTACTGTAGGGCCAATAAAGCAAAATCCTCACAAGGAGCATCAAATTTTGATAAGCTAATGGATGGCACCAGTCAGGCCTTAGCCAAAGCAAACAGTGAATCAAGTAAAGATGGCCTGAATCAGGCAAAGAAAGGCGGTGTAAGTTGTGGGACCAGTTTTAGAGGGACAGTTGGACGGACTAGAGATTACACTGTTTTACATCCATCTTGCTTGTCAGTTTGTAATGTTACCATACAGGATACTATGGAACGCAGCATGGATGAGTTCACTGCAGCCACTCCTGCAGATTTGGGAGAAGCTGGTCGTCTCAGAAAAAAGGCAGATATTGCAACTTCTAAGACCACTACTAGATTTCGACCTAGTAATACTAAATCCAAAAAGGATGTTAAACTTGAATTTTTTGGTTTTGAAGATCATGATGAGACAGGAGGTGATGAAGGAGGTTCTGGAAGTTCTAATTACAAAATTAAATATTTTGGCTTTGATGATCTCAGTGAAAGTGAAGATGATGAAGATGATGACTGCCAAGTGGAAAGAAAGACAAACAAAAAAAGAACTAAAACAGCTCCATCACCCTCCTTGCAGCCTCCCCCAGAAAGCAATGATAATTCCCAGGACAGTCAGTCTAGTACTAATAATGCAGGTAAGAATTTTTTAAAAATTACAATAAGTACAGTAATCTTCCTTATCTGCAGTTTTTCTTTCCACGGTTTCAGTTACCCCTGGTCAACTACAGTCTGAAAATGGGTGAGTACAATACAGTAAGATATTGAGAGAGACCACGCTGTACATAACTTTTATTATGGTATATTGTTATAATTGTTATATTTTATTCCTAGTTATTGTTGTTAATCTCTTACTGTGCCTAGTTGATAAATTAAACTTTATCATAGACATGTATATACAGGAAAAAATGTATTCTATACTTTTGTTTACTGTCCGTGGTTTCAGTCTTCCACTAGGAGTCTTAGAATGTGTCCTCTTGAGAATAAAGGGCGGGGGGACTACTGTAAATGTGTTTTTGAGGCTTAAATCAACAGCTACTTAGTTTCTTCCTAGATACTAATTTTAGTTTGCTGTATTTAGTTTTAATAAAGTACCTATTTAGAACCACAAATTACCTTGTTCAAAGGTACATCATTTAGATGTTAATGATCAGGTTTCAAATTGTATGGAACCAGTTCATAGATTGGAGAGTCTTTATATTTGTGTTTTAATTCAGCCATTAGCACTTGAGAATTTTAAAGTGTATGTGGAGTGGGGATACCAAACATCTTGATATTTGAAAATCCAAATGCTGAGGAGACATAAGGATAGTTTTGGACATTCAGAACTATACTGATAACAGATGGTTGTAATGAGGGAAATACCAGATGATTAAAATTAATAAAAACCCTTTGTAGTTGGTTTAAAACCAATAAACGTTTAAAACATTGTCAACCCCTCTTAAGTTGGTTTAATAAAATTGGACAGTGCTAGGTAAGTATTTATTCACTCTTAACCGTGAAAATTTAATTTGTCTCAAGATACAGTAGACCCTGTAATGACTAGAGATCCTCAAGGAGTTCAGTCTCCACTATGAGAAGCAAACAAAAGAAGCAGGTTAGCTCTGCTGTAATTAAGTCATTACCTGACAAGGGCTTTGTGAAGTGGACTGACTGTCTAGTGAGGAAGAATATGTGAAAGCCTCTGGATACAGGGTTTCTTAACCAAATACAGTTTTCCTGGATCAGTTTACATGTTAAATAAAGCTTTTGTCCTGGTAGGGTCCTAGAAGAAGTGTCATTATGGTGAATTAGAATTATAATAGTATTCTTAAATATAGATTCTCTTGTGAACTACAAGTCATACCTGAGACTACCTACCATTTTGCCATATTTGGCCTAAAAATAGCCTTGCTCGCCTTGCATGGTGGCTCACGCCTATAAT